AGCCAGAGCTCTTGGACTTGGCTCAGAGTTGAGAATGTGTCCTATGTGAGTGCTAAGTCCTCAGTGCTTTTAATAGTCAGGGGTTCTACATGACCTCTCTACAGATGTCAATCAGCCTTCATGTCCAGCCATCCAGGAGTCATGAACAAAGTGGCCCCAGTGGCAAGGATGGGGGAGGTGTCTATGTGGCCTCTTTGATGTGGATCTCCACTCACCAAGGCTGACCTGTCCATCTGTCATGACACCCTACTTCTCAGCAGCAGTGACCAACCACATAGATGCACATCCGGGAGACCAGCCCGTGCCTAGTGGAAGGTTGAGGGCATTTGTTCCTCTTCTATCAGAGGAAGGAGCAACTTGTCCTGCCTTGGAGGTCACATTGTGGAATTGGATTTGCTTTGTCCGTCCTTCAGATTTCTGCCATCACCATCTTTCATGAACTTACTACATGCTTTTATTTTTTTGTTATGCTAGCCCTATGACACTTGGTGCTGATCATAAAAACTTCCTTGCAGTGAAGAGTAAGGCGGTGGGCTACTCTTGGAATTCACTGGATTTAACATAAGCACCCATCACCTGGAAACAGCTGGCTTTTTGGGGAGACAGCTCTTTGTGAGGTTGGAGTACTGTTCTGCAAGATTTAGTGTATGCTGTGAACCAGTGACCACGGCCTCGATATACGAATCTGGGAACTGAAGTGTAAGTGGGAATGGCACTTCTCAGCGACTGCCTCGTGGTGACTCAATCTTGGCTTTATTCTGTGATTCTGGGCTTTGCTGATTTAGAGGTAAGCAAAGGAGAAATGCTTCTACAAGAGGAGCACTAATGATTCCAGTGGTTTAGAAGGGGAGGGTTATGATGTTGGCTGAGTGAATAGAGAATTGCTGCTACACAATGGAGGTTGAGGGAAGTATGGGTGGAAACTTGTGATAATATTGAATATTTATGGTACAATTTAATGGAAGACTTCTGACATCTTAGGCCAACAATGGCTCAGACCATCCCACCTAGTAAAAGACTCTAATCCGCTGCTGTGCTGGCTGAAGTCAGGGAAGATGAAGTAAGTAATGGAAGAGAGAAGTCAAATGACCAGCCATGGCCTCATGATTAGCTGCAGAAAGGGCAGCGTTTGCTGCCCGTACATTGTTCTCTGCTGTCTCATGTTATCTGTATGTATATTTTACCTAATTTTCTCCTTTTCTCCTTTCCCCTTTCCGCATTACTATACATAGTTTGTGTTGGTAGCTGACTTTACAATTTAGTTCATAGATTAGAGAATATCGAGATAAAGTCATGGAGCTGGGGGAATAATGGACATCAGTCAAGATCCTGGCCTTGGAGCTAGATGTCGTATATTAGGGGGCTGTGGTCTCATTTCTGGATAAGGGAATAATTAAATTTATTTGAATTTTGCTGATATAAGAACAGATAATTAAATCAGTAACTAACAGGATATTTTATTTCCAAAATAGTGAAGTAGTTGGTAAGCATAAAATTTGTCAAATGCAAGAAAGATGTTGAATCTGCAACTTTCAGTGAGTTGTAAGAAATGTATTTAATTACATTCTCTATTATCTTTGCTTCAAAGGAGAAAAAAAATCAGTTACATCATTTGGCTGATATTATTTCATTAAGGATTTAATATAGATTTATAGGAAAGAAGATACAGAATCTGTTATAAATATCCCAATGTATTATACAGTATTAATCTCAAGTAATTCTGATAATTATATAACCATACGTTTATCAATCTGTGATTTTTATAGATTAATTTATTAAATTAAAAATAAGTTTACATAGACACCATTTTTACTGTTACAACATAGGGACAAATCACCAAAAAGAAAAAAAAAATCAGAAGTGTAGTTTATGCTAGAGTTACTTTCTGTCCAGGTCGAAACATTATTCCACTTTGATTTTTCCTCTTCTTTGGATTTTGAAAGCTTTCATACCTAAAAAAGACAAAAAAAAAAGTGAGAGATATTTAATACATGTAAATGCTAAAATGACATGACAAACTGCACACAGAATTATGTTTTGGTTTGTTTTTTAGCTTCTCCCCCCCCC